ATGCAATGGAGTTTAATGTTACTAAGAAAAATCAACTAAGACAGAGGAACTTCAAAATTGTTGGAATGGTATTAATATATACGATAAAAATGATATAATATATAACATCAGATTAGAGTAATAAAAATATAGATTAATATAATAATAAAAAATATATATATATATATTTATTTATCAAAACAACAAAAAATTGTTTAATTAATATATCAAATAATAATAACAATCTTTAATAAAAAGTAAAAAATTCTATTTTAACAGGGAACCTGTGAGCAAAAAACCTAGAACGGGGGCCAGCCCAGGTGGACTGGTACAAGCGCAACCAGGGACCAGCTCAGGTGAGCTAGGTGACACGCAATACAACTTGAATCCAGGTGGACTCAATGTTGAAGGGTCCAAAGGCACAGACCATTCCTATGCAACTCAAGAAGTCACAGTGTCAGCACAAGATACAGTGAACACAGGTAACAATACTGTTAATATACCGGGGTTACCAAGTCACACTATAACTAGTAATCAACCTATTGCACAGCCTGGTCCAATAAACAACAATGGACAACAGTCATTTATAATGCAACAACCACAGCCTATGAACATACAACAAGTAAATCAGCAACAACAACAACAACCTATGCAGATACAACAATCAGATATAAACCAAACGTTACCTTTTCAAGTGTTAGCAAATCCAGCTCAACAGATGAATACTAATTATCAAATACCATTGCTGCTATCCCAACTACAAAATCAACAGATAAATATACCAAACCAATATGATTCAGGCCTCAACCCCTTTTCGTTTCAAACATCTCCATTAGAGAATAAAATTTCAAAGAAACTAAAAGAAAAAATCTGGTCAGATGAATACATAGAGTTTGAGCTGATACACAAGGAAATAAACCTACAAACACGTCAGATAGGGGGTTTGACGGTAACACAAATGTTAGATGGATCAGAAGGAAGCCAAATCTTCAACATACAACAGAACAATAAGAAAAAACCACTCACTTTCCCTCAATAGTGCAAGGCATTTGCATCATATTCCGCCGTCTATATGCAGAAATTCACCACATCCGGGCCACAACTGATGAAACACCTAGCCCTTGTGACAGAACTATATCAAGAAAAGAAGGGATGGAGATACTACGATTGCAACTTCCGTAATGAAAGAGCTGAAGGAAAATGGCCATGGAATGTGCTGCACTTCCAACATTGGACAACGGCAAAAGCAATGATCAACAATGATAATACCCAAGGATCGCAAGAAGAAAATCGTGATTTTCGTTTTCCAAAGGGATGGTGTTTCCAATATCACAGAGGCCGCTTCTGCAACAACAAATGCGGCTACAAACACACTTGCCCAAAATGCGATGAACAACACAGGGGATGTTATTGTACCAGAGAAAGGAGACCAGGTGGTCCCCAAAGACAGTCCAAAGAAGAACATAGTGATAGAAAACGTGACTACGACGGTAACTACTCCAGTAAACGCTAAAGTATTAAACCAAGAACTTCAAGGATATGACATTGAAAAAACAAAATTCTTAATTTCAGGTTTTCAAGAAGGTTTCAGAATAAAATCATTTGGTATTAAGACAGAAAATATTCACAAAAATCTAAAATCAGCTTATGAAAACCCTAAGATCATGAAAGAAAAATTAGTTAACGATATAAAAATTGGTCACATAGCAGGTCCCTTTGAAGAAAAACCTTTCAAAAACTTAATCATTTCACCAATAGGTCTAGTACCAAAGCAAAAACCAGGAGAGTTTCGAAGAATTCACCATCTATCTTTCCCAGAAGGTCAATCGGTTAATGATGGGTTTATAAAAGAAGACACAACAGTATCATATGCGACAATAGATGACGCTATAGGTCACATACAAAAATTGGGAGAAAACTGTTTTATGACAAAAACAGACATAAAATCGGCGTTTAGAATAGTACCAATTCATAAGGAAGACCACTACATGTTAGGCATGGAATGGGAAGGAAAGTATTATTATGATAAAATGCTCCCCATGGGTCTATCTAGCGCTTGTAGTATATTTAAAGCATTCAGCTCATCATTAGAATGGATAGCAAAAACAAAATACAATATAAAAAACATGGAACATATTTTGGACGATTTCCTTTTCATAAATAAAACAAAACAAGAAAGTGAAAAATTTCTAAAAAACTTTCTAGATTTATGCAAAAAGTTAAACGTTCCAATAGCCCACGAAAAAACAGAAGGGCCAAATCAAGTGTTGATTTTCGCTGGTATAGAATTAGATTCGCAAAAAATGGAGGCTAGGTTGCCTACCAAAAAACTCGAAAAAGGAAGAAAAATCATAGCTGAAGCATTAGAAATGGAAATATCAGACAACAAAAAATATAAACAAAAACACAAAAAACTAACAAAGAGAGAATTATTATCAATCATTGGTTTTCTGAGTTTTTGTGGTTATGTCATACCATTTGGTAGAACTTTCCTAAGAAGGCTTATTGAACTTTCCAAAAAAGTCAAAAAGTTAGATTATAAAATCAGACTAACTAAGGAAGCAAAACAAGATCTAGAAATGTGGAAAACGTTCTTAGAAAAATACAATGGTAAAAGTTTGATACCAAAATTGATAGATTTAGAACAACATATATTCATAACTACAGATGCAGCAAAAACAGTGGGTTATGCAGCTATATGTGGCAATAGATATCTTGTTGGTGAATGGCCAGAAAAATGGAAGTCACTCAACATAACAATTTTGGAATTATTCCCAATTGTATTGGCACTAAAACTATGGTCAGATCATCTAGCATACAAAAACGTAGTACTGGAAACCGATAACGAAGCGGTTCAAATGATCTTGACTAAATATACATCAAAAGACACAACTATCATGAACTTGCTTAGACCTATGATTCTACAGTGTTTATCTCACAACATAAGGTTTAAAAGTAAACATATTCCAGGAAAAGACAATACATTAGCAGATGCTCTATCCAGGGGTAACATTCATGTTTTTCAGAAACTCTCAACAATCAAAAATATGAATCAAGATCAGATACCAGAGGAATTACAACCCAGCAATTGGTTAACACTTTAAATACGACAATAAACTCAGCTTTAGCTCAAGGAACAATACAGATTTATAACAGGAGTATTATTTACTTGGAACAATTCAATGAAGTAACTCATCTAGGAAAAATACCTTTAACCCCTGTAAGTACTGGACTATTTATAGCATTTTTAATTCATAAAAATTTAGCACCAAATTCTATAAGGACTTTGATATCTGGTCTAGCCTACCATCATAAATTAGAGATTTACCGGATCCAACTAAATCATTTCTAGTAAACCAAGCATTAACTGGGATTTCAAAACAAAACCCTTCTTGTGACTCTCGTTTACCAATAACACCAGAAATTCTCAAACAACTGTTCCATGCTTTAGAAATCATAGAAAATAATCAATATTTAGTATTATTACAAAAAACAATGATGTCAGTAGCTTTATTTGGTTTATTAAGGATTGGTGAAATAACTTTAAGTCAACATAATCTATTGAGAAAAGACATACATAAACAACCAGAAGGTTATGTTATAAAATTTGAATCATTCAAACATAGTAAATCACCACAGAGTGTGATCATAAGACCACAAGAAAAGGACATATGTCCAGTAACATTACTAGATCAATATATGTTCACTACACAAGGAAGGGAAGGACCACTGTTTGTGACCCAGGTGGGCTCACCAGTAACTCGTTATTCATTCAATAAAAACTTAAAGAAACTGTTTACTTTTTGCCAAATGGACACAAAGCTGTACAAGTCACATAGCTTTAGGATAGGCGGGGCTACTTGGGCGGCTAGGATTGGTCTAGATGACTATAATATACAAAAGATTGGACGATGGAAGTCCCTGGCTTTCAGAAAATATATAAGATAATAATAACTAACATAGGACTCTAAAGATAACAAACAATAACATAATATAGAAAAAAAAAAAAAAAAAAGAAATGAACTAAAACAAATAAAATAAAAAATGTAAGTGATTGATGATTAATTTTCACAATGAAATAAAAATGTTAGAATGTTTAATAATATTTCTTGTGTAAGTTTTTTCGCAGGGGAGTGCCCTTTATATGGTGCTTTCCCTGAAAATTCAGGGAATGGCTAATTTGGCGCACCATGGTAGAAGACAAGTGGTTTCTTGACAGGTAATAGGGTATCAACTCTTAAGGTGAGTTAAAAATGTTATTCCAATAAGCTAATTAGGCTAATTAGCCATTTTTAAAGATGTTCAACTTTGTCGCAACTAAGTAAAAAGCAATTGAATTATTAATTCTTATAAAACATCAATGACTCCTTAAAGCCACAATCACATCAAGGATTAAGATAATAAATACACAATTAATGTTTATTAATTGCTTTTATTGGCTTAAGGAGTAGTTTTTCTGTTTTTAAGTCTGGTAATGTATTGAAAATCTAAAATTATCAAATATTTTAATTTAGTCTCGTTTTCGAGAACAGGAAACGGATGTGAGATCTGAAGTCTGCGTGCGCATTCCCTCGTGGTTTTTGGCGGAAATCTGAAACACCCCCCCACCTCCCTTCTAGACAGAGTGAAGGTTTACAAGTCATATGAGAGGAGTTCTTAGTTTTGTCGTCATTGTCAGCTAATTTGGCGCACCATGGTAGAAGACAAGTGGTTTCTTGACAGGTAATAGGGTATCAACTCTTAAGGTGAGTTAAAAATGTTATTCCAATAAGCTAATTAGGCTAATTAGCCATTTTTAAAGATGTTCAACTTTGTCGCAACTAAGTAAAAAGCAATTGAATTATTAATTCTTATAAAACATCAATGACTCCTTAAAGCCACAATCACATCAAGGATTAAGATAATAAAGACCAATAAAGGAAAAGTATCAAAATGTTCTCTTCAAATGTCGTTATTTTCTGACATTAATAATTGACTATAAATTCATAATCAGAGATCCATAAGCTTTAATATATACTCACCTCTATTGAGAGCTGTATTCATGCACTTAGTATTGTAGTTAGATCAAGACAAAATTTCTACCAATATTCTTCGGCTGCCAAGTTCTAATTTACTCCGAGCTAGCTTTTGATTTGAAAATATGTATATGTATTTACTATTCGTATTAATTAGAGGTGTTTATGATAATAATCTTGCTTCAAAAATAATCTATCTTGTACATTATAATATTATTCAATTTTGTATTACGCATATGTGTCTCAAATTTAGTAAATCATATAGAACAGTAAATGCTAAACTGAATATTCACAGCTCAGTAGCAATTGCGATCACTTCCGGTAACAAACAAATTTGTGAAAATTTAAAATCAAGGTAAATATTTTCAAATATACCCTAATTAGCGTTTATACTGATGCATTTCAACTATGAAATATTTATTATCGATTTACGTCAATGATTGTATAAATGTATTTGTTGCTATTTGGCGTAAAACTTGTGTATTTTCGAATTTATTTGAAATTTTCAATAGACTAAAGTGGGGGACAAAAATAAATCTCAACCCTCAAAAGTTGTCACAATTAGCTAAATTCTAAGTTTCATGTCTCAAACTCTCCCAAGTGGTAGAAAAATAATTCCCATCCACTTTAAGTAGCACAATAAATGAATCCAAAGCCTCATACCTGCAAATGATGGATAAATCCCTACCAAATCAGACTAATGTTTTCATGAATCGCCATGTTTGTGATCCAAGGAGGATTGACTCCCAGAATGCAACATCAAGTAACCTTATTTATTCGTGACGTATTTCAAAACGGCGGAATGGCATTTTGAAAGCTGACACGTGTCATGTTGCATTCTGGGAGCCAACCCACATTGCGGCGTAATCTGGCTCCAAAATCACCTCAACATTTGAAGAGTCGGCATTAACATGTGAATTCCACATCAAATTTTTAAGTTCTTATTTGTCATTATGGACACAAATTCCACTATATCTGGACTTACTATGACGGAGAAAATAGAGCACTGAATACACTGAGGTAAGAATTTATTACATATGCGACAACATGTAATTTCCATAGGTTTTGTAATTCTTTATGCCCCCCACTGTAGAGTCCATTTCACTGCTTCATTTCGTCAGTAGAACGGCAAAAATAAGAAATTGGGAGACCATTGTGCAATAATATATGGAAAAGTATATTCATAATGTACATGAATGACATTTGTATATTTCAGATTTTTTAGTTTTTTGTGCAATAAGCCTGTGCCGTCTTGTAATTTGAAGAATTTCAGCCATGTTAATCTTATTGAAAATAACATGGCAGAGAAACATCCAAATATAAGAGGGCACACACTTTATAAGCCAAACTAGAAGCAATCCAAGATATACAAATGTCATTCATGTACATTATGAATATACTTTTCCATATATTATTGCACAATGGTCTCCCAATTTCTTATATTCGCCGTTCTACTGACGAAATGAAGCAGTGAAATGGACTCTAGTCAAAAGCAGGATAGGATCACGGACGTCTAATACGTTCTTCGAACGAGATAGATATCAATAACCTTGATGAATTTGGAATCCCAATCTCCTTTCGCCAGAACATTTTCTACGACTGTGGATAGGATGCCAAGGGAAAAGTAATGGTAAGCTGAATATAGAAGAGACAGTCTCTTCTACGTAAGCTGAGAAGAGACAGTACTATTACTTTTCCCTTGGCCTATGGTCAAAAGAGAACTGAACTGTCACTCTCGACTCTGTTGACTGTGTCTTTACTCTATTAGTCGGTGTAATTCCACAATTAAATGGCTCTAATCGATTCAACTGGGAAACATTGAAATCTGAGGAATATTTATCGAGGATTGGCTCCTGGGGTTCCAACTCAATATTGAGTGTCATGTTCATAATGGAACAGCCACCATTTTTCTCTCATCTGTATTTGAATCATGAGTTTTGGTCTTATTATGCATTTTCATGTTGTTATCAGTCAAAGTTGAATATCGAGTTGGAACTCCAGGAGCCAATCTTCCTTGAACTCACAAATTGCTTCAAGATTAACAATATTAAATAAAATAAACATACAAATTAAATAATATAAATTATACATACAATATTGAGTTGAAACCCTGAGAGCCAACCCTCCTTAGGTTTATGGACAGAATGAGGAAACTTTTGTTTTCATTGCACCTCTAGCCAATGCATATCTGGCACTACAGAGCCCGGATGTACCATTAGATGGAGGAATTTTGATGATTGAAATAATTTAAATAACACGCAAAAATTGTTGTTAAAAATATTGTAAAAAGAAAAAGTAACTGTATAAGAAAACTGAGAACTCAAGATTTGTTCTATTAATTGCTACTAAGGAATGGAGAAATATTTAAAATTACATTTCAACCATTTTATTTTTTCAGGAACATCAGTCAGTTGAAGTTAGTTCTACAGGTAAAGGAAATCATGGATTTGCAAGCATTAAACGCACTCTCAGAAATGCTTCAAACTGAGGAACAGGACTCTGAATCTGATGATGATCAACCAAGCAGTGCTGTAACAAAGATGGGTCCTGGGAGTATTGGTCCAGCTAAAAAGCAATCCACCACAGTAAAACCCTCGAATGGACCTAATCCAGCGAACAAAGGAAACAGTAAAGATATTTGGGATGAAGATGAAGTAAATGCAGGACAAGAATTTGACGATGTACACGACCCACGTCCTCAACCAGAGTATGATATTGTGTATAAACAGGCTGTCACATCAGAGGATATGTTTCTTGGAATGGGAAATAAGAATCCTGCTACGTCAAGCTGTGAGGATATGGTTGTTAAAATTAAACTCCCTGGAACTAAAGCATCGGAGATGCAACTGGATGTTCAGACTAAATTTCTGGATTGTAGGACATCAAAGTTCAAACTTGGATTACACCTGCCCCATCCAGTAGATGAAAAAAGTGGAAAAGCAAAATGGAACAGTGATAAATGTGAATTAGAAGTTACTCTAAAAATGAACAGAGATTATGATTTTATCAACTTTTGAATGAATAGCAATTGTCCACATATTATAATTATTCTAATTCCATCCATTTCTAAAAACACATTCCATAAAGATTTCAATGTAACTGTAACATATACTGTATACATGTACAAAACAAATGTAGTGATCTCCATAATAATAAAGCAAGTGGGTGTTATATTTTAAAAATAATCTTGTACCTACCAAATAATCCATTTGCATTCACTTGAAATTAGAACAAGGCACAGACGTGAACAATATCGTACCTAAAACACAGCATTGTGGTCTTGTTGACCAAGAAAGCAAGATGGCCGCAGAAAAGTTAATCAGCTCTACAACTTATCACTGTGTAACATATGTAAAAATTTGAACCGTTTGGCTGGAAACCTGTAGACAAGTCTTGAAAGTGAAGATTTTAGGACGGAAAATCCAAAATGGCCACCTTAAAATTTACCCAGAATGCCCAAAAACCAATCAGTTCTTGACGTTGATATGTAGAAACATCCCTGAAAATTTTAGGTGAATCCCTCAAATGGTTTGGCTGAAAATCTGTAGACAAGTCTTGAAAGTGAAGATTTTAGGACAGAAAATCCAAAATGGCCACCTTAAAATTTAACCAGAATCCCCAAAAACTAATCAGTTCTTGACGTTGATATGTAAAAACATCCCTGAAAATTTCAGATGAATCCCTCAAAAGGTTTGGCTGGAAACCTGTAGACAAGTCTTGAAAGTAAAGATTTTAGGACGGAAAATCCAAAATGGCCACCTTAAAATTTACCCAGAATGCCCAAAAACTAATCAGTTCTTGACGTTGATATGTAGAAACTTCCCTGAAAATTTCAGATGAATCCCTCAAATGGTTTGGCTGGAAACCTGTAGACAAGTCTTGAAAGTGAAGATTTTAGGACGGAAAATCCAAAATGGCCACCTTAAAATTTACCCAGAATGCCCAAAAACCAATCAGTTCTTGACGTTGATATGTAGAAACATCCCTGAAAATTTCAGATGAATCCCTCAAATGGTTTGGCTGAAAATCTGTAGACAAGTCTTGAAAGTGAAGATTTTAGGACAGAAAATCCAAAATGGCCACCTTAAAATTTAACCAGAATGCCCAAAAACTAATCAGTTCTTGACGTTGATATGTAGAAACATCCCTGAAAATTTCAGATGAATCCCTCAAAAGGTTTGGCTGGAAACCTGTAGACAAGTCTTGAAAGTAAAGACTTTAGGACGGAAAATCCAAAATGGCCACCTTAAAATTTACCCAGAATGCCCAAAAACTAATCAGTTCTTGACGTTGATATGTAGAAACATCCCTGAAAATTTCAGATGAATCCCTCAAAAGGTTTGGCTGGAAACCTGTAGACAAGTCTTGAAAGTAAAGACTTTAGGACGGAAAATCCAAAATGGCCACCTTAAAATTTAACCAGAATGCCCAAAAACTAATCAGTTCTTGACGTTGATATGTAGAAACATCCCTGAAAATTTCAGATGAATCCCTCAAATGGTTTGGCTGGAAACCCGTAGACAAGCTGAAAAGTGAGACGCCGCCCGCTGCCTGCCCGCCCGCCCGTCAAGCTGACTACAATATTGTACCTTTTGTTAGGTACGATAAAAACCATGAAATCATAGGCCTTTTACAATATTGGCCAGAATAGAGAATTTTGCACTCACTTAACATAAGGAAAAAAATCTTAGATTATACTGAAACAATGATCTTCCCAGCTTTAGATAAGGCAGGACTGATACTGCACTATATTGAAAATCAGAAAATGAATGCCTGTTGGCGCTTTATAATGTGAAATACCAAGATATGTTTTTTTTATCTAATTAGAGGTCATATGGGAGATCACTGATGTCACCTTGTACTGATGGGAGATTGCTGCTGAAATGTACATGGTGTTTCATATGTATGCACCCCCCCCCCCCCTCTAAACTCATACATATGTAGCATTGCCACCCTATCATGTTATATATGTTTATTGTGGAAAGTTACATATAAGATTGCAAAGTTTCGGAATCAAAGGGTGTCCCTGAAAAAGATACAATATATCAAACTATGTGGGAAGTATAATAATTATAAGTTTATTTTGGTGCATCACAATTATGAAATATCAGTCTGACTTTTAAGTCATGTTTTTATCTAGCATATATCTTATATAATCTTATAGAACATATCACTGGACTGGGTCCAAAAATGCTCATAGGGTGCTTATAAATGACCCGTACCTGCATACTTTAATTGATGCATTGTATCAATCTTCACTGACATTCCTTGATTCTGAGACTTTGCAATCCCATGTAACTTTCCATAAGGAACATGTGATATATAACATGATAAGGTGGCAATGCTATATGTATGAGTTTAGAGGGGGGTGCATACATATAAAACACCCTGTACATAGTGACTGATGATTCCATTGAGTTTGATCTAAAATATCCTGTTTTTAAAACATCAATGTTATTAAATAAATTTTTCTGTTATTCTGATAAGTGTGTATCTTTAAGTAGTTTAATGGCTCTTGCTTCAAATTTGATGAGGACACTTTTTTTCACACAAGTCCCATTCAACTTTTCAAAAGTCTTAGATAACAAAAATGTATTCAACAATACTTTACAACAATAGTCTTGTTCTTACAAGACCAGGAACCCAGACTAGGAATAGTTCACTAAATGTAGTGGCATAAATTGAATGAGAATGTATAATATGGTGGAAATAAATCGACCAAAACACTGACCTATATGTATTTTCATTTGATGTTACAGAAAAAGATGGGCCATCATTTTTTGTTATTTTTCAAAATTATGTGAACATAAAGTGACAATATTTGTTCTGCATATGATATATTTATCAAAAACATTATATAAATAAAATATCATCGGAGTCCATATACATGAATTTAAATAGAGTAGACAGTACTTAAAACACTGCATGCATCACTACAGGCACTATAAATACACAAAATACTTTTCCCATAATATATAATACAGAAGTATAGCTATACTCACTTTTATTAAGTTTTGAAACCTTACTGGAAAATATAATTAAAACTGCAGGCTCATACAAATAAAATGTATGTCAGAATACATTTGTGGTTGTCATAGTTTCTTCAAAAAAAGCAGACTGAGTAAGCAATGGTTATTCGATGAAAACGAAAAAGAGTAAAACCATCATGATCATGCACTGTCCACTATTTGATGCTGGAAATGCACTACAAAAAACTGGGACATCACGCATGTTTTATAGATTTCGGATTATAATATGTGTATGTTTAGAAATAAGTGATTGTCATTCTATACTTTAATACAATTAATTCAGAAACCAGATTTACGTATAACATCCAATGGACAACCAAGTATACCTTGTATAGCTTAGTTCAAACCATGTTGTCAAAAATAACAACATGGCCAGGGGATAAGAAATCTCATTTAACCAATATTTATTCAATCCTCAGTTATTTTTCTGGCTTTTCTCAACTTGATGGTTGGTTGCTCGCATTGCTATTTGCAAAATATCCTACTAAAGTGGCGATAAAAGTATATCAATAATTGTATAATACATATCTACTGTAAATTGCTTAAATTTGGAACTATCTAATTTGGCGGATTTGGCAAATTAAAATTTTTTGGCTGCTATTTTATTTGGCGGATTGACCATCATCAATTGTATTACTTACTTCACTGCTCGCCACCGATAACGCAATTTTATCTTTTCTGTTTTCAGATTGTTTTATCAAAACCTGCGGGGCTCTTATTAGATCTACAGAAATGGTTTAAAATCGACATTATATCCATGATATAATCAAGATTTTCACTAAAGTTTTATCGTCCAAGGTAGCACATGAAAAAGACACGGGACGAAAATCCCCAGGAATTTTATTTTCCAAAAATTGGTGAAGACTTAATCTGGCTGTTGTTAACAAACCGCCAAATTAAAACGGCTGTCAGATTAAAGCAATTTACAGTAAATTGTTTACAATGATGGCTATATATCTGCAAGTATGCACATTTTACTTTTTAGTTCTTCATGATCATTCTACATTTTGTGTGTATAGGAGGGGTGTCCCATAAGTAGAGCACTGTATGCTTTTAGTTTTAATGCTCACTGTTTCTTCATGAATTATATTATTGGTATTATTATTATTATCATAATCTGATTGAAAATTGAAATTATTGAAAGTACAATAACCAGATGTTATAATAAAATCAGATTGCTCCAAACATTTTACACTATATCCTTTCTCCTTCCTTCAAATAGATGCATATCCTAGAGTTTTAACAGATAGTACACTACAACTGGGACAGCCCTCGTACATACATATAGAAAAACATTTTGAACAATTATGCCTAAGAAACCACTTGAATAGATGGTTTAAAAACTGTTTACAGTACTTCTATACTCATTTTGAAACTATCAATTTAAATCCTACAAAGATTTAATTTGGCAAATGTTATTTTTAAAGTACAGTAATAGAAATTGTCAATGATTTGAACTGAAAAAAAGCTCAATTGCCAAAACTGCAAAGCTTAAGTCAAACTAAATATAAATACAGTAGTTTTACAAAGTGTCACTTGTTCTAGGTCTAATTTATATCCATACCTTTAATTTTGTATGAGTGATTTGAGAATATTATTTTTGCCATATGGTTTAAACAAGTAAACTACAAGGCATTACATGCAAAATGTCACCACCATTTGTTACAGATGTCAATCACCAACCGCCATCACAAAAAACGGAGACCATAACAATATGTCACCACTTTTTGGTGGTGACATAATAATTATAAGTTATTTTGGTGCATCACAATTATGAAATATCAGTCTGACTTTTAAGTCGTGGTTTTATCTAGCATATATCTTATTTCTTTTAACTGCTGTTTACAGAATATGTTCAGATTATTCTACACATTCTCAAACTGAAGCACATAATCAATGATCATTTGAGGGAGGGGGAGTTGATTTGCACTAGACTCAATGCTATGATTCACAGTCCTCAGATTCTGTGTAATATTGACTCTAGCAATTTGCTTCAAACTTCTAGGATTGGTATACTTTGTCTCAACTATCTTCAACAAAGAGGAATTATGCGTGCGTGGATCCCCATTGAAGATGGACTCATCATTACATACAGCTCGTAGACTTTCATTATACCTTTCATGTTCTAGGCTGTTCAGCATCAGTTCAATAATATCACTAATATCACGCCTTGTTTTAAATGCCTCCTTGAGATCGAACATGTAGGCCCCGTAGTGGAGTAAAAGTAGGGTCATCTGTTTAAAAGATATGTGACATTTTCGCCACATTTCTTCAAATAACCCTTCGGGTATGATTCTAACCATTGTGATGACTTGTGTCAGCAGGGGTTGACATGTATTTTTAACATTTGGGTTCGCCCCCTTAGAGAGCAAATACTCCATAATTTGTAGTGAGAATTTCAGGTTGCTATGGTAACATTGAGGATCTTCTTTGGTTATATCGAACTGAACCTCCTCATTGGCTGTTTGAAGTGGTGGTTTGAAAGCATGGACCAATCCAATCACACATCCCTGTATAGTGTCCATTATGACAGAGAGCGGTAACGGACCATCATTAAAGTAGTTCACATGTGCTCCATTGTCAATCAATAGCTCCATGCAATTCTTAATTATCATGTGGTGAGTAGAGAGAGGGTACGGAAACACACTGGGTTCAAGACCTTCTTGTATCTGTGCACAAAGAAGTGTCAAAGGAGTATAATTGTAGGCATCCACTGCATTGACACTTGCATTTGCATCTAACAGCAATGTTGCAATTTCAAATGCATCTGGTGAAAGGAAGTGAGGATTCTCCGCAGATAAGCAGATATGCAGACAAGTTTTGTGATCAGATGAACGCCGAGTGTGAACTCCAGCACCATGCTTTAGTAATACTTCTACATAGGGTTTATTTCGCCATACTGCGAACATAAGTGGTGTATTCCCTAATACATCTCTCTCATTCACCTGATTCGGGAAGTTAGCGGTTAGATATTTTAAACACTTAAATGCACCTTCCTTACATGCATAATGTATCGGAGATATCAGACGAGAGTGTACAGGTTTATTTCTGTAGTGAGGTAGTAACATACACATCAATTCAATGTCATCATGTCTGAAGATGTAACCAAATGCAGTTTTTATATGATCCACATTTTGCCAGGCAATTCTAGCCTCAATATTCACATCAGCTCCATTCTTCAACAGTAACTCAATCATGTCCTTGTTACCATAGTAACAAGCTAGATGGAGTGGGTACAATGAGTTCCAGCTCATTGCAGATTCCACCTCATTCACTTTATAGCTATGGTGCTCAAGTATATCCTTGACAAGCTCTAGGTGATTCGTGTTGACTGCATGGTACATTAGCTCTTCTCTCTTAGTTCTATAAACACTACACGTGTGACTGCATTTGGTATTACAGTTCCTATGTACGCTGTTTGGGTCATAATTAGTGTAGAAAACTTTGTAGATATCAAATACAGGGGCCCGTAGCCTGAGCAGGTTTACAAGTGTTTGATCCAGTCCCATGTTGATTGATCAATAACCTGAAAGCAGAAATATTGTGATAATTAATAAATATTAGTTTCAAATTACCCCACACTTATAAAACTAGACAAATTAGACTCTCATTTTTTTATTTAACATTATTTAAAAATGAAGAACAGGAATCGGTAGAACACTTTAAAAATGAAAGATCAGGAGGTGTAATCAACAGCTTTGGAGACGTAATCAAAGTCTATTTATCCGAATCAATAATCCTAAAAGATAAAATTAATCTAGATAAATTCCTAATCAGGAAAATTGGTCATTAGTTAGTTCAATAACGTCAAACAGTCTCATGGCCCTCGACTATAACCCCCTAGTCAATCATATACTGGTCTACTTATAGATGCACATGCCCTGATGACTTTAAAATAATGGTAAAATAGACTCAACAATCAGAAATGCGTCTTTACTTACTTCTGGGAGAGGTAAGTGACAGTAACTTGCTTTAGCAAAGTCTTAGTTTTCACGATCAAAGTCCAGTTGAAGTATATATGAAGTACAGGGCGTTCAGTAAGTAAAGCTAATTTTGCTCTCAAACTTTTATTTTTTTGGCATTTATCGTTCAAATTTTCAGTGAAGAAGCATTTGACATTTTTCTAACTACCGTGAAAAATTAAATAAGATATGATGAATAATAGCAAAACAATGGTTGTCATAGTAACGCGAATACGGGTTCTGCGGAGCAATTTCTTACTTTAATAAAAATGTTATAATGCAATGAAATTGATTAAGATTAATGCTGCATATGTCTTTGTTTGCTATGCCGAAAGTCACAACAAACATAACAACAACATACACAAATATGATACCATGGCAAGAGTAGTCTATGACATCACAGACAGATGGTACAACAGATGGAATGATCTAGAGTGATCCATCAGACACTGCTCCATGACATCATCAAAATCATGGCTGCCAGGATTGCCAATGGAAGCAAAATGAACAATGAAATGAAACAACAATTGAGAAGTAGCATCAAATACAATGTATTGCTAGGGAAATCCAAGCAGGATACCATTAGGGATATCCAAAAAGCATATGGGGACAGTGTGCCTAAGTACACAATCCACAAATGGTATCAGAAATTCCAAAAGGGGAGAAGAACAACAAGTGATGATAAGATCCACGCAAATATCCATGAGCTTCAGAATGCCGTTCATATGACGTGCAAGGACCTGGGGACAATTCGGGAAATGCGGGCTGATTTCAGCATTGAGCGTTAAGCTCTGCCTCATTTAAAAGCTAACTATGTGTTTTATATACCTTTTTGAAGTATTTTTTATTTGCATTTCAGTGAAATTATTTTTCCTTCAAAATTTTGATGGGATCCTACATATTTTTATTAAAGTTAAATATACCCCGACATCGTCGAATACGCTGTAAGACGTAACACTTTGCGCTTACGGGGCTCGTTGAAATTGGGATAACTTTTGAAATAATGATCAAAATCGCACTAAAATTTCACATTTTATTCAAGCGAACATGTGCATTTATGACGTCACAATTGCTTGACGGCTACAGTTCAAATTATCTTAAAACGAACGCTTTTAAAAATCGAAAAATTGTGTAAGGTTTTGAAGGCGAATGGGACGAGCAATAAGTTTACCTTCATTTAACCTTCTAATTTAGGTCTGATTTGAAAGAAAAATTAACTGCACAATATTGTCATGGCGAAATTTACAAAACAATAACCAGTTTGTCTATTTTGCAAATAATATTAAAATAAGAGCTGGTTTTCGAGACTTGAAAAAAATGTGACGCATCGATTTTGTACCACAAATTCCATACATATCAATATTTACTAACGCCCCAAATGGATTTCTTGACCGTTTTTCAAAATTCAAAAACATTTTAGAAATATTGTCCTCGAGATCTTGCTACCCTGTGAATTTTGTAAAGATTAGATAACGATAAAGTATTTTATTTTTAGGTTGAGTAAACTTGTAAAAAATGTGACGCTTGTCGTTTTTGACGTTGTAAGGCTGTTTGCGCCCTATACTGCTCATTGTTTTGTTTTGGTTTTTTGACGCCATAATGTTACGCTAATTGTCCCCAGTTTGGTGCGACGTGTATCAACGTTCGCTGACAAAGAACTTTCCAGATGGCTTCCACAGGATATATCAGAAGTGGATAGAACGACATCAGCTGTGTGTGAAAGCTAAGGGAACTACTTTGAACATGAAATAGAATGCTTACTTGAAAGTAGAAATGTGGAGTAGCCACAGAACTATGGTTGAAATATAGACAGGACAGAAACTAACGTTAACAAAATCTACTATACTGTGAACTTATAAAATTGCTCCGCAGAACCCGTATTCGCCTTACTATGACAACCACCATTTTGCTGTTATTCATTATGTCTTGATCATTTTTTCAGGATAGTTAGAAAAGTGTCTGATGCTTCTCCACTGAAAATTTGAACGATGATAGACAAGAAATAAAAGTTTGAGAGCAAAATTAGCTTTACTTACTGAACGCCCTGTACTTTGCATTACCAAAATAAGAAAATGATATGATACTAACAGTAACTTACCTTATTCTTCAGCCACAGAGTGTGGCCTTACGCTATTATCAAGCCCTGTTTGTTTTATTGCTTTTTACGCTATCCCCTGAAGACTGTTGCTATGAATTAACTCAAATGTAATAAACATACCTTCATTGAACTTTGTTTGTAGTCTCAGTTCATATGACCATCTACATCGGCTTTTATTTAGTCTTTTCTAAGAGCAATCTTTTGGAAAAGATCCTTCGGTAAAAACGGGCAATTTTTTGATAAAGATCAACCTCAACAGATGTTTTTATAAATGGCAGACCAAATGATTTTAAGTTTAGATGAAAGCATGCAATATCTCACAAAGGATAGTATTCTATTTGATTGAATATTCTCATTATGATTTTGAGAATAACATCTAAAAGAAATCTTACTCCAGAATCAACGTTTTCACTAGTGCACGGTAGTGTTGTTGTGATTAATCGATACATCGCTGATTCTGGCGATGCATCGATGTCTGAAACAAAACATTGATGTTTTTAAAAAAATTTAATTTGCTAAAAATCACCCTTTCTTATCTAATTATTTTGACGCAAATCGCTTACCTTTCTCATGTCTTATTTCATTTTCCAATGTTTTCTGATATTCTTTAGCTTTAAAACAGTTTTAGCCAGTCGAAATGAACCATTAATCTAAAAAAATTACTTTACTTTCATTTCACTGTTACTAGAAGTTCCCGGATGTACCAGCGTACTCTTATTAATTTGTTCTGTTCGGTATTTTAGTACATTAGCGTTCGGTATTTCAGTGCACTTTTCTCGGACTTTTTCTCGATGTACATCGCGATGTGCATCGATGTTTACTACTGAAAATTGACGATGCATCGATGTATGATTATGGCACATCGTGACAACACTAGTGCACGGTGGTCCACATGCGATGTCTTCTAGCCAAGTTATTTGGCTAGAGACTCAAGTAAATACTAAACTTGTATATTAGTATATACCTAACTTACCAGTATGTTTTATGTCCTCCCGCGCCCTAGGTTACATTGTGAAACTCGAGCAAACATGAAATTGAAGACAGCATATTCTCAGGAAGAAAAATCGAAGCGAAAAAATAATTTCAACAGTTCATTAAGACCAATGGCCAGTGTCATATCATTTCCATATTTTGTTTATGCAAAGTGCTTTATAGAATTTTGAATTCAACTGTAATTGTCAGAAAATTTTGTGTACTCGACAAGCTCAAAAACACCAATATATATGGTTTCAGTTTGCTTTTTTTAATTTTTGACATTGATAAGGCAAACCTCACCCAAAGCTGAAACGTATTCCAAATTGTGTTGTTGGATACCTTGATGAATTGAAGATGAAAATCTGGTCATATATCAGCAGTTTCCTTACTATTCTCTTGTTTTCTTTGACAAAACACTTTTTTCAATGTAATAGAGTGATTGATTACTGGAAACAATGCTTCATATCGGCAATTATTCAGCACTTATATCTGGTCTTGAAATTGTCCACCATTTTGTCCAACTACAAGATTTCGAATGGATAACCATCCTTTAAAATTCAATTACGAAATTGCTGGCGTACAAGTAGCCCCCAAGCTACGTTAGTTTCAAAAAGTATCAGAACTGTCATACAGGCAATGTCTGCCTAGGACGGAAAATTACTTATAAACTTATAACATTTGTGGGAGAGTTTTGCTATCACTAAATGTCGAAAATAAGAAATATCTCACACATGAGGCATCAATGATTACACATCTTACTAACAAAGAGACAAAAAACACTTTAACAGAAAACTTACCCACTCTATGGCTTACAAGGGCCTAATAAACTTGTTTTATTGTCATATTTTGAATAGTTTCCAAAAGCTTTTTGACTTCCGGTTTCAATCAGCACTGCGAGATTAAAGTAGGTCAAACTTAAAGCTCTACCCATCTCTGGGTTGGATTGGAATCAGGAATTGTACTCATGTCACATGCTATTTTGCCCAGTTTACTCTGCTTTTTGTATATTCTTTTTTTGGATTCCATTACTCTTTGAAAAAATATGTTGTGCATTGTTCACCAGATTTTCTAATAAAAATCAGCTACAGGGAGGCTTATTTTTCTTGAATTTCCAAAAAATGATGGAAAAAAGAAATGATTCTTCATTGGAGTTGCATCTTAATTATCAGGTTCTCATTAACGCATTATCTACATCATTTATATTTTTTAATTTTGCGCAGAGTGCATATTTTCACTTAGTTTATGAGTATAGAGATAATATTTTTTTCAAAAATGTGCAAAAAATGATTTATTATGATAACCTCTAAGCCCCAGAGGTTTAGAGAACATACATAATTAAGTCCCTTGCTTATCACCTTCGTTTGTTTGAATTATCACCACTTTTCCAAACACTTCACTTCCATGTGATGTTTTAAATTATGTAGGCATATTCCATACACCTTTCTTTATCTTGATATGAAATAAGAATCTCCATGATATTGGTTAACACGCCAGAAATTAACGTAATATTATTCGAAGTGTGTTTTGAAAATTTTGGGGTCGCCATTTTGTTTGTCGATCTCGACCAATCAGAGTTGTATGTCATCTCAATACAGGTTTACATTATAAGCGTAGCCTGGTCATCTTTGAACTCTGGGGTTAACCCCCCCCCCCCGGGACAAAATCAATGTACAACAAGTGGACTTTGATAGAGAAGTGATTGTGACTGCCAACATTAAAGGATAGAGTAAAATTTCAGAAGGATATACTCGGGAAAAAATGTAAGCATGGACTTTGTTTAAAGTTCCTTAACGAAAGAAGGGTTCAAAAACATATCTATGATCTATGGATTGTTTTCTTTTGAACAGGGAATGCTTTTAATGTCCTTTAAAATCGATGCTTTTATCATTTTGACCATTGTGCTTACACTGTTACATATAAAAGGACGTGGAAAGTGACTCCCCAATAAAGGACTTCTCAGAAGTGACAAGTGATGTAATGGTGTATCTCTCACCTGTATACAGATATCAAACCTTATTAGAACTGAGTATCTTAGGAGGCTATGGAATAATATTTTTAATTGACAGAAAGTGGATGGGGGTTTCTTATATTGTAACAATGCTGTTTTCAAATGTGTTATCCCAATAAACATACCTACATGTACCAGTATTAAAGTACCAATACAATTAGGAATGAATACAAACATTTCCTTTCAACAGAACAACATTTTTAATTTATTAATGTACATTTTATTGATTGAACTCGAATGCACAGAGCGCACTGAGAATATAGGGAAAACATCTACAGCAGGTGCGATCATTCAGAGCCACCTTTTAATGCCCAAGTGAACTAATTTATACTCAGACATAATTTAACATGTAAAAGGTGGATCTGAATTTGCACAATTTACCAGAAAAATAGTTCAACTCAGCTGTTTCTATGAATTATATTTATACACAAACCCCGTGTTTAATAAGATATACTACACTTTAATGGCTGTACAGGATGGTACTATTATAGTATGGTATGTACACTACATTACAAAACATGGCCTAAAACTATGAACTATATATTACAATTTGAGATCTACACAGGTAACCATAGTAACAATGGATAGATGGAGCCATGTGTACTGAGATTGAACAAACTCCAGACAAAAGTGAATTATGAAAATCTTTAAAAGATCTTTAATTAAATATAAGAATTGAATCACTTTAAACTTTATATTTGATTTCTGGCATTCATGCAATTGTAATATATAATATGCACTCACAGCTGAGTTTAGAAATACATGTAGATGTTGCACATAGGCCTATAAAATTGCAATTTTAACATTCATTTAAATTCTTCAATTCAAAATTAATTTTAAGAATAATTAAAACATTAAACAGTAAAGTACATCTGTGAAACTGTGAAAGTCCATAACACTAAAACAATTCTAACCTATAAACAATTATATAACATTACACATCAATGCATTTGCTTTTCAAAACAGGGATACAGGGAAATTAATACATTGAAGTTTCAGTTCATTCAGTACATTGTTTTTCAATTTGACTACATGACAATTTCAGACTGAAGGAAGGGTGGACAATGACAATAGTTTTGGTAGAATATAAAACATTTAGGTACATACTCATGTCAGTAGCAATCGGTATGACTTAGTTGACTTACAAAACAAGACACTTCAGATGAGACTGCAAAAAATGTATCTATCCTATCAGTAAGTCTTAGAGAGTAAATTATTGAATAATATGTGGACTCTATTGTGTGGTGTGATGACTACAACTGATGTAAGAATGAAAATATTGTAACATATTCAAGTCTAAAACAACTAAGACGAGTGAGAAATTCTAAAGTCAACACAGAATAAATCAATAAATTGTAAACACTGATATAATTTGCCCTTAGTATACAACATTAATAAACTAGGGCATTTCAATATAACACTATATTGTGTATACATTTTGTTAAATATATATAATATATAGTCGATCACCGTGTACTAGACTTACTAGATATATACAGATTTGTCTCTCTGAGCAAAATTAGCTAGAATAATTTAAAAATACAATATTTTTGGACAGCTACATAAAATACAGTTTGTCCTTATTATGTGGTAGTTTATACAGATTATACATTTAGGTTGGATAGTAAGGCATGATGATCTGAACTAAGAACTTTTTCCCATGCTCATTCATACATTTATTTTCAGTGTTTAAAGGATAAACTGACATGCCCTTATGTACTTTGAGTTCTATACTTTGTTTTATTAAACACAGAAATAAATGGGTAGACGAGTGAGTGATTTCCTGATATTTAAAACTTTTATAGTTCAAACTTCAGAATCAGGTCAATTAGTTGTTTAACAATAAACATATACTGTAATCTACTAGAAACCTGATCATTTTGCTATTATTTTATGTTGTGTATTGATGTAAAGTATACATATCATTTGGTCATTAACAATATCACTTATTGATACACTTGCAAAAATGAACATGCTTATAGTAGAATCAATATTTATCTTGCCTTCATTCAAAGTTCCTTCAACATAAGCTTTCTCGTTCTATTTGCTCATTCTTATGTCATATTGCATCCCTGTGTGTTAAAGCATCGTCTCATCTGTACACTATAAATTAAGCACAATCTAGTAGAGTATTTACAATCTTCTGATCAGTACACCTGTCTTAAGACACACACCTTTAATCAATGCACCAGGTAGCATTCATACACCTTGTATTTACATCAGCATCTTTCTCAACCTTTTTTCATTGAGTATCTTCTGATCTCTCACTATTAAACTCATTCTATTATTAAACTTGGCGATGTCGGCGGCGTAAAGCTCGTTTGGACTCAAACTAACATCTCAATTTGGCTGCCTTATAAGTTATAAGTCACAACATATACTAGTCTGGTGAATACTATATGTACATTTACTTTATTACAATGCTGTACAGGTCTATGTGGCCAGAAGGCACCATCACATAGATCATAAATTGAACATTAATCACTTGAAAGTCCCCCTGTGCGTATTGATGTACACATGTAAAGTATGTGGTGTGATATATTCATATGAACATGTTTGATCTAGTAATGGATGATCCAAATACTTGGCACAGCTCTACAAGGCGATGTGGTTGTTGAAATACTGTGTTGTAACAACACCAGAGGGCGTACTATCACCGACGACTCATGCTATTTACTCCATTCATATTAATAGTCTGAGCTGGAAATCGATTGATATATCCATAATACATTGAATTGTTCATGTTTTGTGGGGGTTGCATTTGCATCTGCATTTGTTGTTGGAAGTTAGCAGCCTGTGGATATGTGTTCATCATTTGCATGTGTCCAATTTGGGGCTGTTGGATGTAGCCATAGGCCCCAGTGTTCATAAGAGCTGGCTGTTGGAGCCTGTATCCATTCAACGTGGGGCCCAGGTTGTAGCCTGTTATCACGTTTGTACCAGGTTGGAGGGTAACATTTGGGCTGAAAGACATGTTCGGATTGACTGTAACATTGGGGGATTTCTGGATCATAGCCACCGAGCTACGTCGACTATGTTGTTTGTAAGCACCAGGGGAGTTGTTCATCTGCGGTTGGAGATTAGGGATGGGCGGAGTCATATTTCTTTGTATGGGGGGTGGAGTCATATTTACAGGGGGAGGGGTTAGATTAGGGGGTGGAGTCATTGTATTTTCAGGGAGTAGGTCCATGTTGATCCCATTAGTGAGCTGCTGGAGTTTGGCCAGGCTACAGCTGGTAGGGTTTGCGGGGTATTGCTGCCTTACTGCATTGTGGCCAGATGTGTATGGAATATTGGCATGACTCAACCTTTGGGTGGGTACCTGGGGCATGGTGAAATTGCCACCATGGACCATTGTACCATGCTGACCCTGGTGCTGCTGTTGTTGCTGCTGCTGTTGGATTGGGGGCTGCTGCACCTGAGGGGGTGTAGGGCTGAGAAGCATCCCTGTAAAGGTACCAGCTGCTGATACAACTGGCACCATATTGTTTTGAGAGGCATTTTGATGGTGCGCTACATCCATGTATGAGCCTCCCTGTTGATTGTTAACACAATAGCCCTGTAGCTGGGCACAGTCTGTAAAGTTCTGTGTAGGGGTGTTCTCAACAGAGCTGCCTGTGCTGTTCTGCATTTCTGTGCTACTGATTGAGGTGGGTGACTCCAGACCAGGGAGTTGATTTACATCAATCTCCCCATATCCAGTATTAGGTGGTAGTGTTCCTGGCTGCATGGTGGGACCCATATTAGGATGCCCCATAGTGTTACCTTGTACGACTCCCATTTCAGCTGGACTAGGCATACTGTTGCATGCGTTGCTATGGGGGCTTGGTAGATTATTACATGGATTATGTCTCACGCCTGTAACCTCAGGGCTGGCCATGTTACATTGGACTACACTCATGTCCGGGTTGGTCCCCATACTGTGAACACTTCCCATGTCAGGGCTAGCCAGGTTGTTGCAGTGACTAGCAGGGCTTTGCATGGGGTGAGCAGGGCTCTGCATTGCATGCATACTAGAGTTACTGACAGGGTTCATGTTAACACCCTCCATGCTACAACTACTGGGCATGACATTTACCATGTTGGAGCTCATACAGTCCTTATTAGGGCCTGGCTGCAGTTGGCGGGTAGCTGGTTGTTGAGGGGTTAACGGCTGTTGCAGGGGTGTTAAAGGTTGTTGTAATGGTGTGAGTGGTTGTTGTAATGGGGTATGAGGTTGTTGTAATGGGGTATTGGGCTGTTGTAATGGAGTATGTGGTTGTTGCAAAGGAGTGTGTGGAGATTGCTGCAGCTGTTGAGATATCGGCGATTGTTGCACTTGTTGGGAAATGGGTGAATGTTGCACTTGTTGTGACATAGGTGAATGTTGCACTTGTTGTGACATTGGTGACTGCTGCAACTGTTGTGACATCGGTGAATGTTGCACTTGTTGTGACATAGGTGAATGTTGCACCTGTTGTGACATTGGTGACTGCTCTAACTGTTGTGACATCGGTGAATGTTGCACTTGTGACATTGGTGAATGTTGCACCTGTTGTGACATTGGTGACTGCTCTAACTGTTGTGACATCGGTGAATGTTGCACCTGTTGAGGTGGCAGGGGTTGCTGAAGCTGGTGCTGTATGGGTTGCTGAGGAGCAAGAGGGAGCTGTTCATGAACTTGTTGATGACTGCTCGATGATTCCACACCTAGCATGCTAGCTGCATCCTCATGGGCTTGCTCTTGTGTATGTGCCGGATCTTCCAAACCATTCTCAGCCTGTTCAACATTTAAATCCTCAGCCAGAGCTTGTTCAAGATTCTCACTAGCTTCAAGTGTCTCTTGAACATCTTGTTCGATATTCTCATGGACATCATTATCATTATCATACTCCGGGTAATGTTCCTGTTGGTTGTTGTCACCATTGTCAGATTCTGACTCGCCCATATGTGTTTCAATCACGGGAGACTCAGGCTTGGTCTGTGCTGGGATTGGCTCAATCACATTCTGAGGTTGAGGAGGTTCAGAATCATGGTAATGTTCAGGGGTATCAGAATGCTCCTCTTCCTCCTCTACCTCTGGCTGGGGACATTTAGGGCCCATACCTGGCTGGTCAATATCACTGTGGTATGGTTCTAGAGTTCCTGGAGACTTAATCTCAGGTATATCAGGTTCGTTATTATCCATATCAGAGTCAATATCCTTATCAGGTATTAACACCTTATCATTGTCTCTATCTTCCTTAATGTCAGGACTCATCTCATCATTTGAGGGTATGATTGGTTCATTATTCACCTCTATTTCCCCCTGAGGACTTTTCACATTGTTTGGCACCAGAGGTTCACTTTGAATTATTTCTTCAGTCTTTTTCGATTGTTCGTCTTCAGAATCAGAATCAGAGTCAGACTCAGATTCACTTTCGGATCCTGATTGGTCTGCTTCATTGCCATCATCTTCGGAGTCAATATGCCCATTTATGGGTCTATCAATATGATTGCACTCATTGTCATTGTCAATGTCTTGTTCTTCAGTGTGATCATTATCCACATCACTGTGATCTCCATCTGCATCAACATCATGATCAACACCATTTATAGCATTATCATTATTTTCGATGCCATTTTCATGGATTTCACCATTTTCTATTACATTCTCCTTAGCGTCTTTTACTGCGATGTCTTCCTTTGGGGAATTTGATGACTCGAGAGTTGCGCCATTTTTTATGATGCCTTCCTTTGGGAGACTTTGGAGAGCCTGCAAGAAAAACATTAGATTAAGTCAATGTGAACATACATAAATGGAATACATACAGAAAATACATGGCTATATAAATAAGCAAAGTCCACATCAGGTTTGTGCTCCATTGTCTCAGTTAGTGAAGAAGTGAGAAGGTAAAGAATAGGAAACCCAAGGTATTAGAAAACACACACCTTTCTATTAAAGTTCTGGCCAACAGTCATACTCCAAATGAATCTGAAGAATTGCATTTTAACCAGAGTAGACATCTGCCAGTTGAAAACCTACCTTTGGACGTCGTCCTGGGCGTCCCCCTTTTTTGCGAGGCATTTTTACTACTGCTGGCTTTTTGTTTATGCTGCCCCTTTTGACACCTTTTGGCCAGCCTCGCTTTTTGGGTGTCATGGGCATATCGTTTTTTGCCGGTGGCGAAGTTTCATTGCACCGTGAATCTGGTTTAGACTCGCCAAGGGCCGATGACGAGTTGTTAGGGGATTGGGAACCTGTAAGGCAAACACTCAACAGTTACACTAAACTCTAAAACAGTGCACAAATAATCTTGGACAGGACTGTAAATTAGGAGGATCATCTTGTTTAAATTCATTAAAAAATTTGAATTGATTACTTTTAGTAGATGTGCTATATAATGGAAAAGTGAAATTAGAAAATGAGAATAGTCTACAGTACAGCAGAGATAATTACCTTTGATAAAGTGTTTCTATACTCATTTACCAAGACTTCATGATTTGGCAAAAATTGATGAATAACTTGACTATATTTTTGTCTTTTTTCCTTCATAATCTCTTCACTACTTGTATATTACAGCCATGTCCAATATCTTATATGCCATCTGTATGAATGGCAGTTTACATGAGTTAAGCTATCTATCCATTTTAAACCAAATTGGGAATTCTAAAAACTTAAAAAGATATTTGAACCATGATTCTGGCACTGAAAATATGATCAATTTTCAGTGCTCAATCAGTTCAGATACTCAAGATTTGAAAGTGAAAGATGAATATAGCACTAGAAGTTTTAAAGCAAAACTTTTATAAGCTGTAAATTTACACACAAAGTAACTAAAGTTTGTTATTGTGCTGTAAAAAAACATGGTGGTCATATGTTTATTTAACAAAACTGGGAATATTATTTCTAACTTCTTGTCTTTAACATGGCCTATGTGCCACAAAAATAAATGAACGGAACTTTCAAAAGAAAAGAATTCATAATTTAAATTTTCCAAATAAAATATGGCCACCATTATTACTTTGAAACATCACAGTGCAGTTTATTACCATTTAGTTTTCTTTCATCAACATCACTTGTGCTATTTCTGATTTTCTTCTTTGGTGGGGGTCGTGATTCTTCATCATCTTCCATATTAGAGTTATTGTTGTTGGAGGTGAGAGCTTTACGTCGCCGTCCTTTCTTCCGCTCAAAAAACTATAAAATTTAAAATTAACAAGGATAAGCATATCATTGGAATAAGATGTTGTTAAAGGTTGAACCAGAAGTGTAAAAGGTGGAAAAACGATGTAATTTAAGATTAAAACAGGATGTGTTAAAGGTTGAAGCAGGATTTGTTAAGAGGTTGAATCTATTCAGAATTTTGACTCTTCTTGGAATTGATTCAAGGAAATTGAACATTTGGCACATTTCTAGTGTTGTGAATATGGGCTTCTAGAGAGCCCATAATGTAAACAACATCATTATTCCCCAATTGAATTGTTTATGCTCCCCCGTGGATTTAAAAATATTGCTCTTAGCTAATGGCTCCTCCATAACATTTGCAGTATATATACTATAATACAATGTAATCCATTAACTAATTTCACATAGATTTTATTTCTCACATCAATTATGAAGATAAACAGGAACAAAAACGAGAAATTAACATAAGAACTAAAGAATATATCCTTTACTACAGACCTACCAAAACATATATACAGAATTTATACTTTCTTCAACTTGAGAACTTCTGCAGTATGGAGAAACATAAAATTAAAATTCATGTTGCATAATGCCGATTTCTTTATTTAAAAAGGTATCCCTTAAATCACAAACCAACTTAATAATTTACAAATCTTAAATTTATTTAGTTTTCCACTTTCAAATAGAGGCATATTTTGAATATTAAACTGAGATGAGTGAACAAATAGACATATGATCAAAACAGAACACTTACGATGCGTTTCCTAGCACCAGGACTGTTGAGTTTCTTTGGAGATCCAGCCTCCGAATCTTCTTCCATTCCTTTGATCTCTTCTGCAATATCTTTCAGCTGCAATTGGATATCATCAAAAATCGGTCAATAACATCTCAAACAAGGCATTAACATGCAAAATGTCAGCACCTGCCAATTTTTAGCATAACATCTCAGTGTCAAAAACTATGAGTAGAGTACAGTACTCTGCTTGCTTGTCAATGCAATACAAGTATAAAGCCATACCCGATCATTTTGGAAATTCAAGGGCAGTATTATATCATATAATGACATATATAAGGGTTATGTACTGGGAGGTTTTGGATACAGGGTTTATCCCAAGGGAAATATGTGTATCTCACGAGGGACCGCAGGGACCGAGGGAGATACACATATTTCCCGCGGGATAAAGTCTGTATCCAAAAACGACCGTACATAACTGGTGCATCTCATACTTGAGTGGGTTTGGGGTAGATATAACCTTTACCACCTTTTTCAAATGACAAGATAGGCCTATACTGTAAAAGCACAATTTATATTTAACATTTTCATAATATTCCTTCAGTTCAATACAATAGAATTTAAACTTTTAAACTTTTTAAAAAATTTTAAACTTCTGAAATTTAAATTTTTATAATTTTTAAACTTTTTTAAACTTTTGAAAAAATTCCCGGGAGCGGGATGGATATATTATATCTGCCCGCATTTGCCCTAGAGCGGGACATATACAATATATCCTGCCCGCTCCTCAGATATGATATATATTCCCGGGTGATATCTAACCCAAACCCACTCAAGTATGAAATACACAAGTGTATCCTCAACACAGCAGGGTTCAAATTTAAAACTTTATGTCGAATGTCATGAGGTTTCAATATGATTTAAGTTTCTCTATCTCATCTGCCTCCTTAAATACCTCCTATTGTCAGACCGGTCTTAAAAATATTGTACCATGTGACTCTTGAATTTCACAAATCATAGTCAACAATACTTTCAAGAAACAGCCTTCTAGTATCCTAGCAAAACAAAACATTAGGTGAAGGATGAATACCTCTTTTTCCGCCTTTTTCTCCTCCTCCATAAGTGTATGAGTAGATATAAGAGGAGTCCAGCGCAAGAACTCAGGGTCCAATATCAGGCGTATAACGCCCTTTTTCTTCAGTTTCTCGGCATGTGCATCAACAACTCGCTTATCAACCTGGATGATAAACTTGCCATCCTTCTTGGCTACAAAGTTGAGCTGTTGGAGGGTGTTTGCTATGTCATGTGGGCACATCCCAGTGGAACGAGTGATACCTAAATCACATACATTGACAATAAACATTGTACACTATTGCAACAACAACATGGATTTATGGTCAACATTTGAAAATATCGGGAGGGAAAAAAATACAGGGTTCTGGTCTGGGCCATCATGATATTATTGCTCATTCGAGCTCAGATCACAGCTCCAAATCAGTTATATTTATAAATCCTCACTCAGTTAAAGCATTTCCAGCAGCTTTACAAACCCATTAGGCATAAACTCACATTTACTGTTTGTAAGTGATCAGTGTATTTAAACCAGTGATGGTATTTTACACTGCATTATATAACAAGATCATAATTGTATACTTACTTTTGATTGTGATATTAGTGTCTGTGTATTTATGAAGGTACTCGAGGATGACACTCCGCCAGTAGGCCTGGTAGGTGACCTTGCCAAGGTCAGAGAGAGGCTTCTCTGGGGATCCTGATTGGCCTTCTATGATGGACAAGTGGTAACCTGAAAAACAAATTGGTTTTACAATCTGCAGGAATGGAGGATTTTCAAATTACATGTACATTTTATACTAAAATATTCATCATGTATCATTTTGAGGAGATATGGTTTATTTTATTTCAAAGCATACAGCAGACTGTACTAGTAATTGAATTGGCAATTGTAAAAATGAAAGTAAAATACATACTGAAATCAATGAGAAACCGGCCATATCCTTTCCTCTGGTACTGAGGCATGGTCATAATACATGAGACATTGTATTTCTGCTGGCAATGCTTTTCCTGAAAGATTAACAAACATTGTACATTGTAGCGTAGATGCAATAAAGGGTTTTCAATATTGATCACATATGTTCATCTCCAAAATACAATGTAAAAGTATGATTCTCTTGTTTTAACATTAATAGTAATACTCAAAATTCTGGTTTTATCCAACTTTTTCTTACAGAATTTGTCTGTACGAAAAATAATCGATATTCATGGGGAGCAAAATATAAAGCCGGATATTTGCAAATGCACTTCTCTTTTTATATTCAAAAATGGATTAATAAAAATCCAACAACTAACCTTAGAGAAATAGCCGACTAGATGGCATCCATTTTCATCATTTTGTGTGAGCACATAGAACAAGAATGGTTCAACGTCGTAATACAACGTCTTGTGATCCAAGAATAACTTTGCCAGTAAGCAAAGATTCTGGCAGTATATCTTGTTTGCATTTCCATCCACTTCAAACACCGAGACATTATCCTTGCGGTAGATCTCATTGGCAGGTGGGTGACATAAGCCACACTTCTCCAGATGGCGCCTTAGTATGCTCCGACTCTTCATGTACTTCAGACAGAACTCACAGATATACAACTTTGGAAGTCTGAAGAAATACACAGATATTAAGTGATAATAATGTACTGCATACAAAGATTTACACTTGGAAGTACAAGTTCTAGTTATTCCTACCTTTCACTTAGACAATAAAACAGGCTACTGAATGGGGAATTTGGCATCAAAGATTTTGATGAATCTAACATTTTTAACATTTACCAGAGTATTTTTGGGAACAAATGAATAACAACATACAAAAACGTTTTCCAGACTTCCATGCAATGCAGTTAAATATGATATTCTTTTTATTTTTTTCTAAAATATCGCCAACCCTCAAAAATCTCATGTTCTGTTTCATAAAAAAAACAGGTTCTCAGTCTGATCCACTCTTTAGCAACGAAATATAAAATACCATATCACATCATCTAGAAATCTTCATCTTAAGATTTCCCAAGAGTTCTACTGATGCACAAAACCCATAAGTCTGCTAATAACAGCACCCACCTTGCACATTCCGCAGGGTAAGGTGACGAGTACCAGGTGTTGATCTCATAGCGACCAAACTCAATGCAAGGAGGGTACCTCCCTGTATTCACCAAAGTCTTCTCTTTCTCTTTGTCCCCACTGGCTTCCTTCTCCTTCTGAGTGGTCTGAAATTGGCTGATACTATACTTAACCTGCGTAGAAGGGGGGAAGAAAACAGAACAACACCTATAGTGAACATACAGACATACAGCAGCCAGAAGCCAAGCAGCAAGCAACCCCTAACAACACATAACGGTGGTCTTCAGAATGATTTTTGAAAATAGGATTATTTCCAGCGCAATAGCATACTTTTTAATCTTGAAATGATCATTTAAGTACAAGATGTGGTAATTTGAGTGCAAATTTTATCTTTTCAAAATATAAGTAGCCTGTAAGAAATATTTTGAGGACCTTTTGACATCAAATTGTTTTGAGTACAAAATGATTTCTAAAGTCAAAGATCACACGCTATAAGTGCAATAATCCGTCTCTGTCTATGTTTGAGATTTTAGACCACCATTATTTTGTTGGAAGGATGATTGATACACAAAAATGAAAAATAGTACATGCATGTTGTGTCATTCAGAAATGTGATGAAAATTGCAAAATTTTACAATGTTTGAATGACTGTTACAATGTATAAAAAAGCAAAAGAAGCAATTGCAATATCCTTTTACCTTTAACAAGCTTTCACCACATTTCCACAGACACAACATTCAATGCATAAATCAAAACTAGAAAATGGCAACCCTACAGAGTAGTTGTTCCTAATAAAAAGGGGGTTTTCCCATATCACTGGGGGTAAATGTATGTTTGGAGAATCATCGATGAAATCAGTGCCACATGTCAAACCAAAATTGATGCATTCTCTTTCCTTGAATATAAGATATTTTTGATTTTGATATTTTGATCTTTATCAATAAGGAAAATGCTCCAATTTAAGAAGCCATGTATTTTAGTGATTTACTTAATAGTGGGATCAATTTTCGATCAAGTTTATGATTTCTATTTTATAGAAATGGGCTTCAATTACATATTTTTTAAGATGTCATGCACATGTGATTGATGAACATGAAAAATCAATTGCATCAATACATTACATGATTAAGAATGTTCTTAGCATGCTTAATTTCAAAGCTGCCCAAAGAAGCAACAAAACTTTATTCTATTGCATTCTTATATTTTAAATCGTGCTAATCATTAGAATTTCCAGTAATATTTCACGTAAACCCATGCTGTAAACTGTAAATAAATTAATACCCAAAACTATTATGCATCCAAAATGCAACATTTGATCATTTCACATTGAATGAATAAATAAGAAATAAATGTTTCAACCAAAACATAAAAATAATGTTTTGGTCAAAATTATGATGTAAAATTCTAAAATACAACAAAGCGAAAACATAACACTAGTATCAAAGACAAACAATTAAACTAAGATGCATCGTATAAGAAAAAAATAAATTCAAGAAAATATTCAACCAAACACTGAATGAAATAATAATATATCTAAGATACTCAAATCAAATTGGGATAATAATTCAATACAAGAAAATACCAGGCACAATTACAATTTAATATTACAATAGACAATACGACACAAGAGGAAGGAAAGTACAACTCATGACACAACACATCTAGTGTAAAAGAATTGAGGGAACATAGGTCATTGAGTAGAAACAATTAATATAAATATTATATATAATCCATTGACATTTAATAAAACACTGTTTCATCTAATAATAAATACTTAAAAGCATTTAAGATGCAAAAATGAGATCAAAGCTAATATAGAAATGGAAACTAATTGACAGAATACCGAACCTGACAAATCCTCTTAAAATATCAAATAACTTCCACTATATTTCCTACATGAGGTTTTCACTCAATTATTCACTTACACAAGCTGTTATAAATAGGGTGATACCCGTGGAAGTGAATTATATGTTCATTATAATATAAGGAAAGCTCTCAAATAACATGCTTTGAATATACTTCCTTTCATTTGATATGATGTTGACAACAGTAGCTTTTCTACAGGTACATCATCATAGCTCAGAATTTATATGAGAGCTTATGTAGGATTAAGCCATCTTGTGTCGGAACCAATACATGCCTCTATTCCCTAGACAAATTTTTGCATTTCTCGCTGGACTTTTAAAGGGGAGCAAGATGGGTTTGACGCAAGACTTACTTAAAGTGTCAATAGGTTGATTTTTTGCATACCTGGTGTGCTTTCTCCTGAGCTTCTTTGAACATTTCCATGTCTTGGTCTGTGATCCCAACAGGTTGTACTGGTGGCTGGTCCCCTGCACCTGGACACACAATGAACATATTCTAATACACTGTAATGTTATACAGCTTATGATACTCTTCATTAAATATAATGCAGAATGAGGGCTATCATTCATGGATATCATAAACTTTTAAGGGGTCCGATTTTGGAACCGTCGTAACTTACAATTTAGTTATAGGACATTGTTTGTCAAAAAGAAGACAATGGTTTTCTGTGAATCAAAAGTTATTATGTACCAAAAACGAACCCCATTATCATAATAATCATCAAATACACTATACTGTAAGTACAATCATCGATACAAAGTACATGTAAAGTAAAATATGAGTAACTGAATGTTTCTAGTGAATACTGAAAAAAGTAACATGGACTTTAGAAGTTATCTTTGAGCCAATATATCGTAAAATGTGAATTACATTTGATTTGTGAATTTCAGCTGGCTTTGACCATATTCAATTGTTATAGCTACACCAATGGGAGAAGATTTAAAACAGGAATTATTTATTCATTCAAGAAATGGCCTCCTAATTGTAAAACCATATCTTACAACTCCATCCCATAAAATAAGGAGCTATAAATATAATTCAGTTATATGTTGTATGGTACATGGCTTATTGGTCAAAATCATGAATGGTCATCGGGTAAGTGGTATGCCGCATAGCCTACTGTGAACAAAAGTGCTACTATAACAAATAGGTATTAGCTCAGCAAAGCTGTAAAGTGTCACTTGCCATGCATTACCTCTGAACTCTATCCTATATATTCAGAGTATTCATTTGAGACTTACACAAACTTGATAAATCATTAATTTGAACTTTTAAATCAAACATTTCATATTATAAAATAAATTAACAGAGATATTAAACAGAAATATAAATTCAAAAATGTGTTAGTTATGTTAATATATTCTGCATCAAGCATATGTGGCATCAAAAACACAACTTCTCAACTTTTGAAAGTGTGATATGCAATGGTAGATTTTAAAAATGTTTAAAAGTCATATTTTTTTCAGACTGTTTTTATATGAAATTTTTGTTTTTTTCTGGTTGAAAAATATGGCTTATATTCTTAGTTGAGAGGTATCAGCAATGGAGAAGCATCTTTTTTAAATTGCCAGTATACACTTGTATAGATAATTGCTGGATGGAAGCAGGCACTCATAGGTTCTTTGAATAACTTTCATTTTCTTAAAATCATTAAGATTTGAAGCCATTTGGAATTTGCGTTTGAAAGAATTTAGGACTAAGCTATACATTAAATAAACTTGAGGTAAAATCAAAATCAAACTAAGTTGTGAGAGGTAAATCATACTCTCCAGTGGATCAAAACCTCCAAAGCAGCTTCTTGGTTTAGTCATTCCAGAAGCAATAACAGAGGCATTCTTCCCAAGTGCCTTTCCTTGTGTATTATAAATCCTCTTCTTCGAAAGTCTGAAGGACAACTTACTGGGGCACCTGGGAACAAAGCTCCATTGAAGTTGCATAATGATTGAGATGATGTGTATTTTAATGCTAAAGCATGATGCTACATAAACATAGTTTGTTAGTAAGCAACTACGATAGCATGGATTAAACTGATATAAATGGAGTGTGTCATAGGTGCAGAGGACAGGCTGGCGAGATGTGTGTGGTCAAGGGTGCCCAGTGCCTAGTCTACCCCCTACCCTCAGGGGTACTTCCCCAAGTCCCTTGCCCCATGGTCATTGGTATTCATGCCATAATGATGCAACTTAATGAATAATGTGAGCAGCATGCCATACAGAGCTGGTAGGAGCCAGACAGGTGACGTGATTGAAGGGTCTAGTAATCTAAAGGTTCTCACGGTCTCTTAGTTTAGAGGGTCTAAAAGTAAGGAAAGCCAACACCAATAGCTCTAGCTAAGCTAGCTAACTAGAGAGATAGAGGGAAGGGGTCTACTAACACTACACATGCACAAGGTCCAAAACGAAACAAACCCAGTGCAACACACAATAACACTACACTCAGGAAAAGGGTGTCACACGTGCCAAATGAAGCCACAAAAATAAAAAGCTTACCAGATGACCGTCTGCCCCTCCCCCGGCCTCGCCCTACACTAGTACACTGTAGGGATGAGGCAGCCCGGCCCCGGCCCCCACGTCCACTTGGAGCCAGCGGTGTAACAGCAGTTGATGTCTTCCTTGGACCCCGCCCCCTACCCACACTGGCACTAGCACTGTGCAGGCCTGCCCGCCCCAGTTTACTAGTGGAGCCCCGACCAAGGGAATGGAATACAGGGGGAGTGGGTTCTGGGGGCGGGGGGTCTGTAGCAGACACTAAGACAGGAGCCTCAGCTTTATCAGACACCTCCATTGGTTCTAAAGGACGAATTCGTTTAATACGGGGTGGGGGAGCATAAGTTGTCAAAGTGCGCTTTCTATCCCCTATGGCAGTAAATATATGGGAGAGACCGTCAAAAAGACCCTTCAACTGCCCACTACCTGGTGGTCCAAATTGATGCTTCCTGCCAGCTCTAGACATGTGTAATGCACGGGATTTCCTCAATAATTTACTGGCAGCTTTCTGTGATTTGCTAGTATTGCTTTTCACTTTGCCTATGAATGTACCATACTTGGCAGCCGCTAGGGCATTAAGGGACACCCGAGACGTGCGCTTATTAGAAGGGGTGAAGAATTTAGTCAATCCATCTATGAGACCTTTAGGCTTCCCCAGTGGGCCTAGCTCATCATCGGGGAGTTCTCCTATGGGGGCAATGTCTGAGACATGATCATCACTATCATCACTCAAGTCCCCATTGGCCACTAAGACACTTGGCTCCCTGTCCATATCATGTTTGTTAGTAGTAGTCTCATGTAGCTTGTCAATCACTTTCTTACTCTTAGGCTTTTTAGGCCTCTCATCATCTGATAACATGGGACACGCCCAGGGCCTGAAATACAAGAAAAAAATGTTACACTTCAAATAGCAGAACAGCATTTGGTTTTTTCCTTTAAATACTTTAAATATACTACACATTGACTACCAAAAACATTGTTGGCAGTTTACATTTAGATTGACCAGCACTTTTTAAACACACTAGGAGTTTTTTAACAATACATAAATTAAAAAAATTTGTTGACAAAAATCCATGAATCATATACAGACTTCATAAAAATAAATGTCGAAGTATAAAAGGTTCCATGTGAAGAGTTTTGAATACATTTTGTACATTCAAATCAAAAAAATTATCGTGAAAACTTTTGAGTATGAATTCATCTCAGCAAAAAGTACATGACAAGAATCAGAGCATGTAACTTTCCCAAGTTGTTCATTATTCTGTATCTATTTGTCTCAAATTATTCTTTGTTCGTGGATTCTAGCTATGTCTGAATATTGCTTACTTTCTATGATGACTATTTCTGTTGTTAGTATTGCCTGAGCCATCACAACCAGGGGTAGGGCACCTACAAGTGGCAATATGGAAATTAACTAATAAAGTCAACAGAAAACATAAACAATGAACCAACAGCAAACTTACACAAACATAGCAAACTTGTACTGAACATTGTATATGAATGAACATAGATCACTTATTTATTTAATATCTCTCCTGGCTAGTGGTTAAGACCCCTCCAAGTTTCATATAAACAATGATAACGAGGAGAATAACATTAGGTATGAAACCAGCCAATGATATTTCATAATGTTACTATGTGTGTTAAAATGCATACATTTGTAGCTTTTTCTCCTGTCTTGGCCCCCTACTTCGCCTCCTACAGATGGCGTCCTTATACTCTCGTTCTAACGTCTCATCTACCAACTGCTTGGTCCTCTTACTGCCCCTCTCTGGGTCACAGATATTGCACACCCAAGTTCCTACAATAATACACACATATGTATGTATAGGGAAGACTTTACCAGCAGGCCTTTAATTTAAAAGTGGCAGGGACTGTATATAAATCTCAACTGATTCTGCTTGATATTTTCACAAACCGACGTCTGTTCTTCATTCATGTCTAACCACTGCGAAGGGGTTTTGCAAATTCAAAGGGTGTTTAAAATACAAGTCAACAGTATGGAAATTTTTCAATAAAATTGAGCTATTTACCTTTAGGAGCTTTCGTGAAAGGTGGGTCACAGCAGCCCATATGGAACCCTCTGTCGCAGGCATCACAGAATAACATATTGTCCTGTAACACAAACATATAACATACTCCTGAATATTTTTTAAATACTTATTCATGTTTGAAAGAGTGGATTTAGTGGTTCAAGAAGTTTCTTAATACCTCAATTCTCGAATAGTTTTTTTTAGTTCAATGTCAAATAACTTGAAAAGAACAGAATTTTCATTTGGCTAGATGAGTTATATAAATCATTTTAATCGAACATCAGAATAGATTTATTGTTTACTTTATTGAAATTTCAAGGCCAATATTCCAATGTTGTTATTTAATGAAATTCAAGTGGGGACACTTATGTTGTTGATAGAACAACATGGTGATATATTATTGATACACGTTCACTCTACACTCATGATAGAAAAATTTGTATTCTTGATCAAATAAAACTTGCTGCAAAACTGAGTTAAAAAAGCCTTGATTCTGACAACTTGTAAGTCCAAAATGTTCTTGAAAATGTTGTACATAAGGAAAAATATTGCTGACAGGTCATAATTTTGAACCATTTTATTTTCTTGCATTATAAATTAATGTTTTTTTCTTACCTCCCTCCCTGATGCCTGGCAGAATGAACAAGTCTTGCACTCTATACATTGCCACCTCAGACTTTTCACCTTTGCTGTCAGCTCTGGTGAGAACTTGAGACACGATGGGTGCCCTGAAATATCAAAAAATAAATATACAGTTACGGTGATCCCATATGGTGCTGCACCCACTTGAGATTTTAACAATAAGCTTGCACCCACCTGAGAATCCATTTTCACACACTTGAAAAATATTTCTGCAAGATTTTATTTTTTCCAAAATACCAAAATATAACATTCAAGTGAAAACTAATAGAAAATAATGAAAATGTATGAAAGCAATTAATTCATGCTTTTGCATATTGTTTATGAAATTACAGTTTTTATGATAATACTACATATTCTGGCGTAAACATCTGAGACGGTCACATTTCTGGACATTAAGCATGTGTTTACGTACCACTGTTTCCACATTCAGCACATGAGATCAACTCTTCTGGTAACTTTTCACGATTCTGCTCAGCGGTACCCAGACAGAAACTACAGATTTGCATCGGCCGCACCAATTTCTGTAAATAAATTACATAATAGTTAATTAAAAAATGATGTCATTATTGATCAATGATGACAAGATTTGTTGTTTTGCAGACTGGCAGATTGTCAGCGTTTTCTGTTTTTAGCTACCAAGTTCTCTATAAAAAACAATAGTATATAAGGTATAACATTTGTATTCTTATATCTCACATCACTTCTAGCTCCGGAAGTCAGATCTCTCAGGCTTTGGATTTAAAGAAAGTTATCTTTTTTTAACAAGTTGTTCTCTTAAGGAATATGATATAAATCTTGAAACATAACAAGGTTGTTCTAACATTGCTTTAACTCTTTTCTAAGTGTATACCTAACCATATTCCTTTTGGCATCAAGATAAACAGCAGTACTTCAGTTGATATTAATCAATCTAATCACGATACAAAACTAACAAAGTGTTATAGTGCATTTGTTATCAACAAATCCAGATATAGATTTATCATAACAAAATAAATATGTTTCTCCTTGTTCTCATACTCATTACATCTCTTAGCAAGATAAGGAATGATGTCATCTTTGCAATTAACATTTGAAAATGCTACCTTGACAAATGCTGGCTTGATATAACTGTACAGTGAAACCTGTAAGGTGGAACACCTCTAAAAGTGGAACACTTTCCAAGAGTCCCAAAGACCAAATGACTTAATGTTAAACGAACCTCTATAAGTAGAACACCTCCCAATAGGAACCCTTTTTAGAGGTACCAAAGGTGTTCCACAAAGACAAGTTTTACTGTACATCAATACAATGATAAATAATCTTATGACTGTCATGGTTGAACATGATGATGCATTTGCCTGTTTATTGGAATCTGACTTCAAGCAACCCTCTGGCAAACATAATCAGTTAATGTTCCTTTCATCTTCTATGGTAACTTCTTCACTGCATCTATTAAAGATCTAATACATTAATCCTCCCATATTTATCATTAATGTATCACTGCACCTTGACGTTTTAATCTTTCACAAATTTCAAGGTTTATATACACTAAAAAGGAATTCTGTTCAAGCATGAAGGAATATTATAAAGTATTGAAAACAGAATCTTGAAAATTACTTCAAAGAAAAATTGCATGATTTTTCAAGAAATTAGCTCTCTATGGAGACAAGATTATTTGCCTTATAATAGTAGATTGATGTTAATAATATGTATCTATAAAATATCTAAGTCCCTGGATATCAATTTGCTGATTGTTCTGTGGCAAAACGAAAGTTGTTCAAATGATAAACATTTAAAGTATGTGCGGTCTTAAGTGTAATAACACTCAATGATATGTACAATGTACTTCAATGTGTTTAACATCCACCAACCAAAACAAGTGATTCACATCTAACTAAAATATATATCATACATTCATTAACAGTTCTATGTTTATATTATGTTCTATAATGGAAACAGCACACACATGGGCTGTTCAATAACTTTTCAAAGATTGTTGTAAGATATTGTTATAACAGGGATTTATCTTTTATGGCAGTAGCATATAAAGGAGCATTTCTAGTAGTTTCATTATCAAATCTCAATCATGACTCCCATCAATTTTTCTTGAACTAAAAACGTATTGAATAGCCCTTGTATTCATATTGAAGCCTGGATCCGTTACTTATTCACATTTTTATTTATTGATAGTCAAACAACTATGTTGCAGAGCCCTTAAATAACTATTATCAATACTGTTCCGTTTGCACAATCAAATAATTAAACACATTGCTTTACAGATGTTATGTTCCTTCCTGTAACATTATTCCCTTTTATAATGGATTGCTGAAGATTATATTTAGCCTTGTTAACCGTGAAAACCAGCTCCAATATAACAGAGTTAACCAGAATGCTCTTGAAACAATCTATATTGATTTGATGTATTGCTTCCCAAGGTCTACAGGTCACGGGGATTTCACATAACATGCCACAACACCAATTGGTTTAAGAGTCTTCCTGTAACAGCAATTGGTTTTGTTCTTCCACTGGGCCAATATGACATGATAACATTTATTAATCATTCATAAATAACAGTATAACACTCTGCAGACATGGTTAATGGATTACTTTTTAGCAGCATCAAGGTTACAGATATACTCCAGTTAATTATAACAGGAAGCTGAACACATTTTGTTTTTACTTAAGTATCAGTGCAAATAATCAGGATATCAACCAATTTTATCCACAATAGCAAAAACTTAAATTGGCACATTTAATCATATTTAAGAAAGCACTGCCAAATCTAGGACAATTACTTCTCTATACCTCATATACCTGGACTAAAGTTAGTATATTGAATAACATTTCACCTAAAATCTGAACTTAAGTGTAATGGTGCAAAAAGTTCATTGTACCTTGCAAATTAAATAAATTAAGCTACCGTTGATTTCCCTTAAAAGGAATTTCTTCAAAGAAAGTCACTTCTAGCCTCCAATTCTTTACCCCCCCCCCCCACCTAGATGGAGGGGGAACAATAATACAGATCAAATGAATTAATACTAAGAGATCTTCAACACTCCATGTGAGTACCATTTCAAAGTCATACACTGCCAAGTAGCCGTTACTAAATGAAGGTGATTTTGCCAATAAACTCTAAGATCAAACAGAGGGATTGGTAAAGGAACACTATACCAAATATAACATTCTATTGCTTATCTCTAGATACAAGGGGAAATTCTGATCTCAACTCTGGTACTTGGCAATGTTTATAAACATTGTCATAGAAACCAGATTCAGACTCACTGACCTTCTTGGCAAATGTTCAAATACAACCAAAATGTTATTCAGAAAGTTTGACCATCTGCCAATTTTATATGGCAATATAATATACTGGGACTCATTCACAAATCCCAAAATCATAATTAAAAGCAAGATAGCGTATCAAATTCTATCAAATCAACAATTTACTATCATCTTGCAGAAATCCCTATGTTGTAAGTCATAAACAAAAAACCTTCAAATCAAATCAAAACTCACTAGAAATTATGTTATATACAATGCCTCAGAAACTAAATAGAAAGGTTAAAATAAACAATATGATCACTAACTGATATGATGCTAAGGATGGAAACAACCAACCAACACAAACGAACTACTCCTGATGCAAAGACAGGAATAAGACAAAACATACCTTACTTCCCTCTAGTTATACATGTATATAAGAACACAATATGTTAGCATATGGTAAGGGCCATTTAGTACAATGTCAATCTTGATTCATCTAACAGTTTTCAATTTCATGATCCAGAACAGTCAAATTGACATCTGTCTCATTTATAAGATTTCTAACCATTAGCAGTTAGCACATCTTAACCTTTATGCAAGCAGTTCAGCAAATAGCACCTGGACTCATGCCATAAATTAACCGTCATAGTATTATACAATATACATAATATGGCGGATGAGAGTTCAAAGATATCCTGGTTAAAAAACTGGCATCAACCCAGAACTGGTTTAAAGATAAAATATGAAAAAACAAATCTACAAGTTAGGTCCAGTTACCTGTTGTAAAGAGGAGATATTCGTGTTCTCCAACAGTCGCTATGTTTAACTAACCATCTCACCTAACTACCACAAAATCATTAATCAATCATCAATTATTGGCAATTCAAGGATTTGTTTAAACTAATCAACTACTAGTTGAAGTTTCAAGGTTATCTGAGGTCTGCTATGTTACTGCTTAATACTTCATAATCAACCTTTAGAGGTTGTCAACAAAATAGACATAGAGTTGATTAATTAAGGATAAAACCAATGCGATTTTATTTGACACACTCACGATTTTATTTGACACACTCACGCACAAACCTAGAAAGTCAAAACCACATGTTTCAGAACATATGGTAATTAAAGAAGAATCAGCTCCATTTGAGCCATTTCTTGTGGTTTTTGATACAACTTAGAACTTAATCATGATACACCATTCACTTTGATTGAATCAAACTTGAATCTGGAATACATTACAGTGGTTTCATTTGCAGTTGGTCTGAGGACATGGTCGAAATCATACATCTAATGTTCAAATTTTCCAAGATTGGTTTCAGTCTCATGTTTTTAAAGTTTCTGATCCCCAAAATTCTGTTGAAATCTCTTTAATGGCAACATCTGGCCTGAGATTGCCAGTTTGTCCATCTGGAGCATCAGTGCTTCTGATTTGTAACAGCATTGACATATCCTTTTCATATGACAGCATCCTGTGCTATGCAAGATATCATACTGCCACAGGTGTGCAATACCAGATGTAAAACCCATTCACTAGTTTAACACAGTGCTCTCTAGTCAGGTGTGATATCTTACAAACAACAATAAATAAACAAACAAATAAACAGACTAGACAAACAGCAGCATATACCTAATATATCTATGAGTATAATATGACCTAAAATATTTGTGTATGGATGCCTTACTGACTCATTTACTACAGAACCTCTTTATGAGAACATACCAATATTCTAACTGGTTCTTAGGCCTCACAACGTTCAATGTAACTGGTATGGTTTAACTGTATACATACTTCAAATAGAAACTGTGAAATATTCATAAGTAACAGAAATCAAATCATACAACACATAATATTTCCAGTGTTTGATTGCTATTAATAAGTAGGTATCTCTAGGGTGATAGACACACCAGCTGTTGTGATGCATAGAGACCACTGAGTTACAACTCAATACTATTGTTATCATCAATTACAATATATGAATCTCAATACACACTGAAGACAATAGGCAATGTTAAATATGCCTGCCTGCTTTTGTTAATAGCTTTGCTATCTTCTCTTCCTATTATACATTTAACTTGTACAGTAAAACATTGTAAAGTGAAACACATCCATATATAAGAGTTGTGGTTGTTTTAAAGCTTGACAGGAGTATTTTCAAAACTACCTTCATTTAATATTATACATTTAACTTGTACAGTAAAACCCATAAAGTGAAACACCTCAATTTATAAGAGTTGTGGTCGTTTTGAAGCTTGGCAGGAGTATTTTCAAAATGAGCAA